GGATCCTACATATGAAACTGTCCTACAAAACCAATCCTAAACTTCACATGACTTACCTGAGACTTGAGTGACAGGGCGGGCATTTCCTTGAGCAAGTGTGAGCTGGGGCACACTGGCCTGAGCTGAAGAGGAGGCTGTAATGGACCCTATTTCAATACTTCCAGATTCAGTAAGAGTCCAGCAGGCAGAGGAAAGAGCCTTGGCTACCGTCTCCAGACCATTTTTATCAAGTAGCTGGAGCAAGAGTAAAGAAATCAAATATATTGCATGACTACTGTCTTCTTTATCTTGAAGCAATCAGGCAATCACAAAACAATAAATAACAACTTTTAGTATTTCAGTATTCACATACAGCTATATCACCTAAAAGTAAAAAGAAAAAATTACAATTATAGGCTAATAAACACATTTTTTTAATACACATATAAAGTGAGTGAGTGAGTGAGTGAGTGAGTGAGTGAGTGAGTGAGTGAGTGAGTGAGTGAGTGAGTGAGTGAAGTGAGTGAGTGAGTGAGTGAGTGTGTGTGTGTGTGTGTGTTGTGTGTGTGTGTGTGTGTGTGTGTGTGTGTGCGGGTGTGTGTGCGCGCTTGTGTTTTAGCCCAAGCTTAGTGCATCCAAGCAGTTAATATTAACCAAAACGACTGCACCTATGCAAAAAATAGTCATATTGAAGAAAAAGTCCATACAGAATAGAACTTCAAGAGGAAATGCAAAGCCAGAACAAATCTAACTTCTTATAATTTAGCTAAATGATAAATCTAAGATAAACGGATATTTCCTCCTCAACAGCCTATTCCATTAAAGGAACCGTCTGGTCTTTTTTCGGTGATTTTCGTCCATCTTGCCGGAATTGAGTTAAATGCGATTTCAAGGAGTTTCTAGGCCCTGGATCATACCTTAAAATTTCAAGGCCTGACTGTTATTTTTCAGGTGGTAGCAGCCAATAATAGGTAAATAATAGATAATTATATCAATAACAAGTATTTTGTACATGATTTGTCATGCAAAATGTATAAATAATGAATAGGAAAAAGATCACGATTATTAGGTCCTTTACATTTTTACGCATAGCACACGTATTTTCAGTCCGATTTTAACGTATTATGGCTCATTTTGTAGCTGAATAATAGTTCTATTACATGCTGCCATAAGGATTTGCAATATTTTACGGTGCTTCTTATAAAAGTGACTTATATTTTCAAAATCACCCTTAGGGTGTTTTTAACAGTCGCCTTCGGGAAAAAAATAAAATAAATAAAGGAAGCAAGATCAACTTCTCAAAAATGGCTTCCGCATATTATAGTAGAAGGATGGTTCTATTCAGACATGAAATCATCATGGCTGTATGATTTTGGGGATTTTTGAGAACTTTTTTAACATGGTCAATGTAGGCCTATAGACCCCCAGATCAATGCCACTACTCTACACTATACAGAAGATTTTGAGAAACCGTTACGTGCTGGCAATGTCCGAATAACTTCGGGATGCAGGTAGATGATAGAGGATTATGGTGTAGGAAGACTAATCTTATACCTTGTTTTGTTGATACCAAGATAGTCATGGAAAGATGAAGAAACCGAAAAATAATGATATCTCGGTACACCACCTTTGGGCGCAAAAGCTGTATCAGACACAATTTTAGTCTAAAATAAAAGTTTTATGGCTCATTTTGTAGCTGAATGATAAATCTAGTGCTTGTATGAAATGGTTTTTGCAATTTTTTTCCTGTGCTCCTTATAAAAACGACAAATGTGTAAAAAAAAACACAAGAAAAAAAAATCTTGATAGTCAGTCACTTCAAAAATTCACACAAAAAAAATAAAAACAAAGTCAAAATCGAAAAAAGTATTTCATACAAGCACTAGATCTAGGATGAATCTGTTAAAAAATCACATCAGAATGCATGTATAATTTTTTCTGGATTTTACAAACTTTTTTCGCTTTTGTAAATTTTCAAAACGAGAACTTCACAATTTTCCGGCTTTCTGACAATAATTAAAAAACTGTTAAGCGATCAAAAAAAAAAAAAAAAAAAAAAATCGACCAAAGGGATCAGGGAGGGTCTAAATAAAAGGGTGTGAGTTTCATCAAAATTGGCAAGAAAAATTGAGGGAAAAAAAAAAAAAAAAAAAAAAAAAAAAAAAAAAGAGATGGTCCCCTTAATTCATATACATTTTTTTCTTTTTTTTTTTTTTTTTTTTAGCTGAATATATCAAAAGCATTCACTTATTTATCTATCCAAAAATATGATGTAATAACGTAAAAATAAATCACACGCCAAAAGTAAGATGTTATAATAGAAAGTAAATTACTGGAAAGTTATAAATATTCTCATGATATTGATAACACATCAAAAACTTTAAACAATGAAAAAGCTTCTGCATCAGCCCTTTATGGTGCTTAAACTCCAGGTAATTCCCTCATCTTCCCATCCCATATAGGAGCCACTCTTTGGGACAAAAAAAGGCCCAACACATCCACACATCTAGCACAAGTCTGACACATAAGAGCAAAGCCTTTACGCTTGTCTGCACTCCTACAAAAGGTAATGAATCTTTCCCATATATTCTGACAGGACAGCAAAAGAGGCAACTAATCATCAAATATAATATCTCAATTTTGTTGAGTGTAAATAGTAGAATTCAAATATGAACAGTGGAATTTGCCATAGAGCAAAGCAATGACACGGTTGATCACTTGACATACTCTACTTTCATGCTGAACTTCACTTTAGACATCCACCACTGCCATCCACCAAAAAGATCTGAATGAAACACAATAGAAAAAGCTCCATTTTGAAATATCATTAAACTATTTTTTTTTTTTTTTAATCTGTAACATGCAGAGGGAACATAAGACTAGTTTAAAACTCAATTACAGTATAAAATCCCTTCCAACTCTAAATACTACTCGACTGTCATACTCCTAATTACAATATCACTTATATATCTGTCTACAGACAGATATATAACAGAGGGAAAGAGCACCACCATTTTATAAAGCATAAAAAAAGAGGCATAAACAACATAAGTGAAGTTACTGCGGCCTCACATTTACCACAAAATTATGAAAATATCTGTTGCATATCTACAACACTCTCATACAGCTAGAGTTCTTAATATTACATTTTCTATACAAAATGTAGTGACAGTTAGGACTAATGCTAACAAATGGGGTAAAGGATGGCTTGCCCCTTGTCCAGAGAATAGATAGAAGGTAGGGAAGAGGTTTGGGTTTTGGGGACTTTGTCTCGGGAGGGTGCATCGCTCTCGGTAATAAATACCAAACAAACACCAAATAATAAAAATGACAGTAAGACTAATTCAACATGTAATGCAAATTCATTAGCTAAACAGGAGTCATGAGATCATATTAGGAGACCTTTAAGGCCCCAGTGCAGGCTACACACTAGGCACTGACTCCTGATGGCAGGTCATGGCAAACCCTTAATGCCCAAAGCATGCCCAACCAAACCATGATCCTGCAAAACACATTGGTTTTGCATCAAAGGCAAAATATGTTGACAATAATATATATCTTGACATACAGAGTAACACTGCTGTATATCCTCCCAACAGTGTGCATATCTGTCATGTCGTATGCCTCTCAGCCCGTGACACGACAGGGCCGCCTTGGGTCACTCGAGGTCAGAGGTCAAGGCTTTCCAATGAAGGGAAGCGAGTTTCCTTCCCAAGGCACACAGAATGAGATTCAAATGCTCAACAGGAAGCTCCTCAGCAGCCATATTGGGCGGAAATGGGGAGAGGTTGGGGTGAACGAGGAGGAGGAGGAGGGAGAGAAAGGGGAGAATAAGAATATAAACAAAGAACTGAGAAAAATAAATATGACCGTTTGCAAAGCCTTTGAGAGCCATTCTCATGAACTTACTATTATCTGTGATTTGTTCTTTTCCATCTCGGCCTCCTCATCTACCCTTCCCTGTCGCCCAAGCTGAAAAGTTCATCTCAGGAAAAAAAAACTTTAGAAATTCGCCTTGTGACAAGGGAACTCCACAACGTTACCAAATGCGGCAGAAACTCTTTCAACTTTTCTGCTAAAATCGTTGTTCTGCCACAAAAGGTGGTGTAAATTCCGTGAACGTTAGAATAAATAAAATCTAATCAATTGGGAATGCTTAATCTCCAGAATTTCGTCCTGTGCAGAGTGCCAAAGACCATATATGCAGAGGGCCTCCCCAATGTTGCCAGACGCGACACAACTCTCGCCTCGATTGAGCTCGATTTCCTTTTCATTTTCAGTCGTTTCGCAGCGAGAAAGGCGACGCTCGCCGGGTTTATAGCAAGGTCTCATATGAGTACTTACAAAGACCATGATTCAGAGGGGGTGGAGAGCGAGTCTTGTCACTGCTGAAATTTCGGGTAATTTTCAGCTGCGGATTCATAAAGTTCAAATCCAAATCTCATCCTACGTCGTGTAGCTACTGAATTACAAGTGCGGTTTTATACTAGGGTGAAGATAGTAGTGTTGTGTAATTTTCGAAGCACGACTAAAATTCTTTGTTGTTAACCTCAGTATTTCGTATCACCCACGAAAGGAAGAGAAGAGAGAGAGAGAGAGAGAAGAGAGAGAGAAGAGAGAGAGAGAGAGAGAGAGAGAGAGAGAGAGAAGAGAAGAGAGAGAGAGAGAGAGAGAGAGAGAGAGAGTATATATATGTGTGTGTGTGTTATAATATATATATATATATATATATATATATATATATATATATTATATTATATATGTATGTGTATATATATATGTATGTATATCTATCTATCTATCTATCTATCTATATATATTATATATAAGAGAGAGAGAGAGAGAGAGTTTCATTAGTTTCATCAATGATTTTTAGGGTCAAACATGAGCCTAGTTGGTATATCTATGGAGGATATTTATGAGGAAGGAGAATAAGTTGCCAAAGGAAATGGCAGGGGATTCAGAGAGGATATCCAATAGGCTGGGGTTGGGTAGTCCGAATAAATGAGGAAAAGCAGAGG